CGTTGCGCACCGACGCAATCGATCCCCGATACGGCGATAATCCGCCAACATCCACGGCGGAGCCCACAAACACGGTTGGCAGAAGAAATCCAACGCGAGCATCAAAAACTAGAGCATACGATACAATTCAAAGATTTGAACAAAGCCTTGAGGAACCATGTTGTTCAGGAACGTCTTCAGCATTAGTCATGCTGGCAATAATGGTTAATCTGGCAGCTACAACATTTGCTGTACCAGCAAATGTTTCATGCCAATTGGGACAAGTTCAAATTCGTCCACCTAAACAATACTACGAACTTTGTTTTAATAATCACTGCAAATCTTTTAATAGAACGGACTTGCAAATTTTTAATCTGCCAAAAACACCGACAGATAAATCTACCATTGTTCAACTAAGAACTTTGGAAAAAGGCACAGTAATTTCAGAAACACGAGTATGCGAACCGCAAAAATTTTGCGATGAATCCAAGCTACTTTCCAAACACCTCATTGGAAACCCACATTGCTGGCCAATCGGAGCAATAATTACCGTTGCACTCATAATATACTGTATAATTACCACCGTGATGATTAGCGTGTGGTTATGCCGAAAAATGCACAAAAAAGTACGCACAAAACCTCAAAATTCCTTCCAAATGCAAATGGAAACGCACCAGGAATTTCGGTTGATGGAAGCATTTAATCCACTTCCATTACCCACAGTAATAGCAATATGTGCAGTCTTATTACTGTGTTCAAAAGAGGCTCACACATGCCAGCATGGGTACATGCGCCACACGGCTGAGCTTGTGTGCACCAACGAAAACATCTGCTCCTACGAATATGACCAAGAAGTTCTATTCAACCATATTGACTCCGAAATATGCATTGACATAATGCACGCCAACAAGTCTATTGGATTGATAATGATCACCAAACGCTACATGAAAATGAAATGTGCAAAAATTTCCCATTATTTCACCAGGGAAACCGCCTACCAAATATTCCACATCACAAGATGTGCTCAGGCAGGATCTTGTACACTGCATAAATGCAATACCCTATCCCCTACAGAGATAGTCGAAGAGTTCAACGAAACCCGACCTTATCCGGGTTATTCCACATGTATTCCAACATGCGGAGGATTGCAGTGTGGATGCTTGTTACCTATGCCTGCGTGCTCATTTATGCGACTAGCACACGTCCCATTGACAGAAACAGCTTACGAAGTTATTAGCTGCCTGGATTGGGAACCAGTCATAGAACTAGAAATAGCAACCAGAATACAAAACTTGAAGAAAGTAGAAAATATCACTTTAATACCGTATATGACAAAAGAAATCGGTAAAATGTCGATAACAGCAATTACATTGCAAAAACCCCACTATCCATTGTTGGAGAAAAGATTTGCAATTGCAGAAAACGAAGCATTTTTAGTACCGGACAATTATTTGCTCCCAGTTCAATGTGCTAACAAAAATATGGCAACCGAAAACTTTGCTAAATGCACAGATCATATGATATGTATGTGCGAAAATCCACAAGCTCCACATACGTGCCATTGCCCCGACAATACATTTGCAAAACTGAGATTCGAGCGTTCAAACCATCTTCCAATCTCAACAAGCCTCATGGAAATCAAATCCGAGGCTATGGAACTGTATACATACACACACGAAGGAGAAACGACTTTAGCGATAAAATCGTCTCTGATGCTTGACAGTGCAAGCTACATAATTATTGAACCATGCAAAATAACACCACAAAAGTTTGTCGGATGTTACGAGTGTACTGAAGGTTCCACACTGGATGTTGCATGTTTCGCACAAATTGAAACATGGGTAACCATACAATGTGAAACACAAGTATTCAGTATACCCTGCGACAAAAACAACAGGTCGTCGAACATAACAATGGAATTTGACCATGCAGTGATACATGAAAAATGCCACACACTGTGTGGAAATACGGAACAAGTATTTACTCTGGAAGGCACACTACACTACCATCCAGATAATACATCAAATTCAATATTTGAATCCATCGAACCCGATATCAAAAACAATTGGTCAAATCTAGTAAACGTACCAGATCTCCAGCCCTTGGTAAATACAGTAAAAAGCCACTGGAGAGCAGCTCTAGCAGCTATAGGAGGAATATCAGCAATGATAGGCATCACATACCTATTTGGACCGGCCGCGTTGATGCTAATAGTTCGAATACTATGGACCTTAGCGCTAGCAGTCGCAAAGGTCGCATGGCAGGCAATGTGGCTCGCCATCACTTTGCTTCGCGGAGCAATCAATACAGGTCGGGTCATCCGACAGCATGCGGACAACGCGCCTAATTAGGCGTTGACGCGATGACAATCCATACACACCGTGAGCGGTTGTAAATAATGTATAAAAATATCTTAAAAATTCAAAAAATCCTTTTTGCCGCCTCAATAATAAAGGGGAGGAGCAAAAACAGCGGCAGTTGTTAACAACAGCTGACAGTAGAGGCGGGACCCCAAAAATAATCGTACAAAAAGCCGAAAAGTACAACTCAGCTACACACCATCATGGCTGACTACAACTACCTCCTCGACGGCGAGCCTACCCAAGACAACGCATTCTCTATTCTCATCAAAACTATCGAGGGCAAGGACGAAAAGACCACAGGCTTACTCCACTCTATACTCCATAGCCAGGAAACTCGCCTAACAGCAATCGAGAACGCTCTAAGTTCCCTCTTAGAACGATCAGCTCCTAAAAAGCTGTGTGTCTTCTGTATTCCGCAGGACAATACGGATAGCCATATGTCCGGTCGCTGCACTCGCTATCCTACTCCCTTGACCCGAGGGATTCAGGCCACAAAGCTGGGTCTTTGTGAACGATGTCTGAAGCCTTCACATCCTGAAGACTGTGGAGCGAAATGCACCTTCTGCCAACTGCCCCATAATTCGTTGATGTGCCCTTCAAAAGAACAACTTCACAAACCCCACTTCAAGAAGAGGAAATACCACCATTCCCCCTACTGAATCTGCCAACTCCACTACTACTCTACTATCTACAACTCAACAGTCTATTACTCTACTACCTACTATTCTAAATATTCCAACGCCCACTGCCAACCTACTACTGCCAACCGCCTCATCTGCCCACCATTAGCCGCTGCCAACCACCGAAAATCAACAACGACTTCGTCAACCTACAACTCAATCAACGACAACCACATCAACGTCAACGCCGATCCACAATCCACTACGCTCAAGGAGACGCGACGTCGTTTGATAGAATTTCATTATCATTTATTTATCTGTTGTTGTTATTATTGTTGTTGCCCCCCCCCGGGCCGGAGTGTTCGGCCATTTGCTACGTATTGTGGCCAAACCGACCTATACATAAATCATCCCGCAGTAAAGCGGGCGGGTTCGGGGGTCAACGGGGCTTTTCTGTTGTAAGCTTCCTCAGTCTCACAATAAACGTTCATAGCGACGTGTTGTGTTATCTCCCAGTTATAAGTTGCCCTATAGTGGCACAATTCGTTCGGCCATTTGCTGTTTAGGTGGCCGAACCCGTACCATCAATCAACCTGCCGTAAAGCGGGCGGGTACGGGTCGACAGGGATCAGAGGGGTGTAAGCTTCCTCAGTCTCACAATAAACGTTCATAGCGACGTGTTGTGTTATCTCCCAGTTATAAGTTGCCCTATAGTGGCACAATATAAAGCTGAATGTCTGTTTGTCTGTCTTCTGTCTGTATGTATGTATGTCTGTATGTCTGTACCTACGTATGTTCCGAATAGAAAATTCCATTCCTGAAGCGATCCGAACCAAACTTGGCACACATACACTTCGGGCCCCGGCGGGTGTCATAGGCTACTTTTCGAATCGATATCGATCGATGACGAAAAGTAGCCTATGGCACCCGCCGGGGCCCGAAGTGTATGTGTGCCAAGTGTGGTCCGGATCGGTTAAGAAATGGAATTTTCTATTCGGAACATACGGCGGAGCCGGGTAAGCCAGCTAGTTACGAATAAAATAATGACAGGGCCGGGCGGAGCCGGGTAAGCCATCTAGTCTATCATATAGTGAAGAGAGCGAATCAAATCATTGCCACTCCTTTTTTTGAGCCAAAAGTAGTGTAAATCTACGCTTTGATAGATATCGCGCTCTAATCACATGCAGGGTCCTTTGAACTATGAGCAGGGTAAAGCGGGGGGTGCGGCACGCGACCGCCGGATACGACCCCCCCCCCCTTGGGCCGGACCTCGGCACGACCCCCTCCCCATTCCCTACCCCCCCCCCCCCCCTCCCTCCACCCCACCGATTTTGCGGGCATAAAAAGCGCGTGTCCGTCCAATAGCATACTGCGTTCATAGGAACCACAGTTGGTGTCTTACGTTGTGTCTTCGACAGCACTAAAGCGCGTGTCCGTCCAATAGCATACTGCGTTCATAGGAACCACAGTTGGTGTCTTACGTTGTGTCTTCGACAGCACTATCTCTTTCAGTTCCTAAAATGTTCGCATTATTCAGTGCAAACCATTCACAAGTGTAGGGTCCTTACTTGATTCAATTTAAGTAATGCAACTATTAGACTACTTCAAGTTATCATAGAATTTCAACAATTTGACAATTTCAACAATTTCGACAACACTTTGACTGAACTAGTTTATCCGTTCATATTCATATTGGGTGATACTAGTATATTACTACATGCTATGGGAGAAATGTTCGACTCAGTCAAACAAGAAGAGTACAATTGTGGTTTACCTTTCATAAAATGAATAACTTAAACAGCTGTAGATAAATCACTCGAGACACATACAACACGCACAATTCGGTAAAGAACAGATCCAGAAAGCGTAAAAAGTTAGCAAACGCTAAGTTACCAAGTTTGGTGCAGAAATACGATCATGACACCAGTTATAGCCCTAGAATGAACCGATGTTAATCAACAACCGAAATTTTTGTGTGTAGATACCTCCATAACAAGCTGGTGCGCACGCGAGATAAGTGTCAGACCACTGGAATGACGAAAGTCTCGGAAATATCCTGACCGAAAGTATAGCCAGCACCACGTGGGGAGATTCCCCAGCCTTTGCGGTCATCGGGGTCAGATCACAAGAGATCGCACCTAGGGCCTTCATGCGGAACCTGTAACACTCGATAATGATTTCAAAACAACAAGACGCTTTGATGATGGATAGGAAACAGACTGATAAGCCTAGTTGGTCTTCAAAATACTTAAATAAGGACGCATAGCAGTGACTACAGGTTCTGAATTTTTTGACAATGCTAAGTATGTATAAAAGCTGGGGTGAGATTTGAAACAACGAAAAGTGTGAAAATTTTTCATATTAAACTATACTTGTGTTGGACTTGAAAAGACTGAGATAAAGATGATGAGATATGTATATGCAAAAAAAAGAGAGAATAGGATCTGTGCATTAAAGATGATAAAACACGGATACGTTATCATGCACACTTCTCATGCACTTTTGTGAAAACGACTCTTACAACCTGACAAGTATTGAGCAGTCTCGTTTACACACAAATACTTTCATCATGCAGAAGTGCATTGCCGGCGCTCTTAAATACGAAAATGAAGACTATGAACTCCCGCAAACATGAAAGAGATGCAAGTATTGAAGACCTTTCGCAAAGGGATTGCAGAAAATAGATAAACTTTGAGAGGACTTACTTCCTGTATACGATCGAGAGCTCTTATGTGATCGAGGGTGTCGATCGATGGGGATAAACCACCGTGGAGGCAAAATATTTGACCATCCACAAGAGCGGTGAGGGGGGAACCGTCAAAAAGATCGGTGAAGCATTTCCATACATTCGAATTACCATACTTGCGTAGGCACTCGTCATAGAACCCGTAAACCTGAAATGGCAAATTAGCACATTGACTGAACACGTCATCTTACAATCACACAATTTCAACATCGTCTGATTCTGAGTTAATCCTATATCACGACCGAACAATTAAGAGACATTATTTCTTGAAAATGGCACATTTTGAGATCCTTCAAGCCAAATTACATGACTGTTTATAGTACACCGCTTGAAAAGGTTTTGTAAATTAGAGATTTTGCAAGTCGCTACAAATAAGGATATTGAAAAGAAAATCTCTAAGTCGAGGGAAACGCGAATGAACACTAAATCAGCTTCACATTTCGCCAGCAAATGGTCACGAAAAAAGAACAGATGTAAGAAGACGACTGACAATATTTACAACTCATTACAATTAAAATGCTGAAAAATGAGATCCTACAAAAAATTCCACAAACCTGAGTAATTTGTCGAGACTCATGATTGCCACGAAGAATAGTGACACTTTCTTTGTATCTGATCTGAAAAATAAAAAATTGAGACGAAGAATACTACACTGCATAAATGTGGGAATTGCAACTGCATGAGGGACTATGACATGAAGAGCCACCGAATTTCGGTGGCTCTTCATGTCATAGTCCGGTCTATCATATTCTGTCATAGTCGGTAACGGGACATCTGACTTTCTTGGACATTGGACTCATTGGACATTGAAAAAGGATTGATCATATGCAAGCACTGAAAAAAAACCTTCGCAAACCTTCGTTCTTCTCGGAAAGACGATTGCTGTTTGTATTTCCTTTTATGTACCAAACAACTCTTCAAAAAATCCTTTCCAATACACTTGTTTTGTGGTTAGTAATGGAACAACACCTGTAACACTGCATAACAAATAGGGCTGAAGTTTTCTGAAAGAACAATGAGAGAAACAAGTGATGAAAAAGAACAAAAAGGCGAGAACATCACAGTTCATAACGAGAGTGGGGTTCAAAGGCGCGTATCTCGCGCCCTATGTGTTTTGACAATCTTTCGAGCGCTACCGTCCCAATATTTTTTGGCCACACTTCCCAGCATATGGTTCGCAAAAACCATATGCATTTCCTTCTAAAGAAAAAGGTTCGAGGGGAAACAGCTATTACGGAGAGAGGAAGGATGAATCTATAGGATGATATGAAAAAGGCAGCTGTTTGAACGATCTGAAGGTAAGTTAATGGCCTGCGGCACCCCCCCTCAAAACCTGCGGCAGCCGCAGGTTTTGAGGGGGGTGCCGCAGGCCATTAACTATATCAAAAAAACATTTTTGGCGGACAATATTTATATGAATCAATAGCCTAAACCTCATAGATTCCATAGGGATGTTTTGAGCCTGATTCGTCTTCTTAGCTCTGAGTAGTATTTGGTGAAAGCACAGCGATCAAAAGCTAAAAGCGATTTTGGTTGGCTTCTAATTCAATAGTTTGGAGGTCTTCTGAAGCGGGATTCCTGAGGTGGACAAAGAAGGAGTAGTGTTTTGTATTGAGTGCAAGAAGAGGTAGCTTACTCACCGTTAAGATGAAGTTAATCATGTTTTAAATTACTGCTTTATACAAGGTTGTTTACTGCTCGGAGACCTCAGAGTTCGCTGAAACTTGGCGCATAGGGGTTGTTCGACACGCGGATTACGACAATTATGCTTGGTTAGAGGTACGGTAGGTTACGGTAGGCATACGGTATCTGCAAGTTTGTGTCGTTGAACTTGAATTTTGCAGGAATTCAACAGCGTGGCACATCTAAGAACTTAGCTGCAGTCATTTCCCCTTAGAAACCGCTTTTGACCTTGGGTCGATACGACCCCCCCCCCCCCCTACCTACTCCCCCCCCCCTTACGACCCCTCCCTGCGGCGTGCCGCACCCCCCGCTTTACCCTGACTATGAGGCGAAAAATGCATCGCCAGATTGTTGAGACCACAGACTTGCTTTGTCTAGGGGGTTTTCGACAATTGAGCACTAAAATGGTACCATATCCAATGACAGAGCCTTTATTCAACTCAGAATGTTTTTTTTTGCTTTTTTTGTTAAATCGGGTACCTCAAAGTGCACTATTTCGTTTTTTATTGTTATGTCGATTGAAAAAGGGTTTCTCTTTTGATTTTTATGTCAGAAGGGACTTCGTAAATTTTCGCGAAGTCATGGGGACTTCGTTTCCAAAAATGCTCAAAGCAACGCGTGCCGGGCCCTGATCTCAACCTTACATGCATCAGGCCCATCAGCGGCCCACAGGTGTGAGCTTTCGACTCGCGCACATAGTGATGCCATGCTGACGGTGGCCCGCATGCCTATGAAGGCTCATAGTTTCACTGGCCGCCCGCGCACCCATACACTTCTTCTTCTTCTTCTTCTTTATCTTCGCCATTGTCCCGCGGGTGCGGGTCGGCGGTGGTGCATTTTTGCTTCCATTTGACTCGATCGGCTGCTTCTTGTGGTTTGAGCTTTGCAATGTGCAGGTCATTTCGAAGTCCAACCAGCGTTGCTTCGGACGGCCACGTGGTCTTTTCCCCTGTGGATCTAGACGAAGTGCTGTTTTTGCTACTGTATTATCTTCACTTCGTAAAACGTGACCATACCATCGTAATCTGGCACCTCGCATCTTATCCGCGATAGGTGCAACTCCGAAAATGTGTCGTACATCATCGTTCGTGACGCAGTTTCTTCTCGTTAGGCCAAGTATCCATCTTATCATTCGCGTCTCCATCGTGCTCAGGATCTGCTCGTGTTTTCTGGTTGCTGGCCAACATTCGGCTCCATACAGTGCGACTGGCCTCACCACAGTCCGATACACTTTCGACTTGAGATACAACGGAATTCGTCGGTCGCAGAGTACTCCTGTTACTTGCCGCCATTTTAGCCACGCCGCGTTCGTCCTAGCGCGAGCATCAGTGATCTTGTCGCAATCCGACGTCACTCGGGAGCCCAGGTATTTGAATATCGTGACCTTCTTCAGCGGCTGCCCATCGATGCTAATTGTGCCATCGGTTTGCTCTCCCATTCCAGGTACTCGGTCTTTGCTACGTTCAGTCGTAGGCCATATTCCGCTAATCGTGTCTTCCATCTCACAGTTGCCTCTTCAAGCTCTTGTTTCGATCTGCTTGCTAGCTCGACGTCGTCTGCGTAAAGGAGCGTCCACGGATGCGGCAGCTGAATGTCCTTGGTCACCGTGTCCATGCACAGTATAAAGAGAAGCGGTGATAGAGCCGATCCTTGGTGTACTCCGACTTGGATTGGGAATGGCGTTGACGTTCCCACTGCACAGTGTATGGCGCCCGTCGTGTTCGTGTAGAGGAGTTTAATCCAGCGAACGTACTCTTCTGGGACGTCGTGTTGTCTCAGCGCATACTAGATCAGCCCGTGTGGTATCCGATCAAATGCCTTTTCTAAATCCAGGAATGCGAAATGAATCGGAATCCGTTTCTCCAAATGCCTTTCCATTAGCAATCGTACTGCGTGGATGGCGTTGATGGTGCCAGATCCTTTTACAAAGCCGCACTGATTCGGGGTGACCTCCACTATACTTCGAATGCGTGCGTCGATGACTCGTTCGAAGATCTTCATCGTGTGGCATAGCAAGCGTATTGGTCGATATGTTGAACAGTCACTGGCGTCGCCCTTTTCCTTCCAGATAGGGACTGTAACACTCGTAGTCCAGATTGGCGGCAACTGTCCGTCGACGATAATGCGGTTAAAGAGCGATGTGAGATATGCCGCTCCACGCTGCCCCATCATCTTCCACACTTCAGCAGGTATGTCGTCGGGTCCCTGAGCTTTTCCGCTAGACATCTTCCTCAGTGCCTGCACAACTTCTGCCTCCTCGATCCGAGATACCGGTCCAAATGTGGGGGCTCCTTGCGGTACTAACGGGTGCGGGAACTCCTCATTAAATAGCCCTTTTAGTATTCACTCCAACGCTTGAGTATTGCCCTCGGTTTCGTCAGGAGGTTGCCCTCTGCGCCCTCAATGTGCATGACGTGGTCGATGTCCTGCTTCGCTCGATGTGCAGCGGCCAATCGGTAGACCTTGTTAGCTCCAGCAGGTCCTTCCAGCTAGTCGTAAAGTCTCTTGTAGTGTGCTTCCTTTGCTTCGGCTACCGCGTGCTTCGCCTTCGAGTTCTGCTCTCGATATCGACGGAGGTCCTCGTTTGAGTGTGAGCGCTGCCAGGCTTTGAAGGCTTCTTTCTTCTCCTTGATCACTTGCTGGACTGACTCAGAGCACCACCAGATCTGCTTGTCTACAAACCGGCGTCCTGGCTTGGTGGTTCCCAAGATTGTCTCGGCCCTCGATCGTATCTGCGAAGTAATCCGATTCCACTGCTCTTCAATCGACTCCTTATCATCCGTCGACACCCTCATATCGTCAAAAGCATCTCTGACTTGCTGGCGATGTTCGGGAAGCTTCCACCATTTGATCTCTTTGTGGTCGTCCTTCTGGCTCGTGAATGTAAGTGGATGTTCAGTCGAAGATCCAATACGAGCAATCGGTGTTGTGGCGCAAATGCATGTGTCGCCATGGGTATAACCTTCGCGTTCATCACCATCGGCAAATGGCATCGGCGCAGCATCCAGTAGTCGATCTGAGTTGAGCGGTCTCCGCTCGCGTACGTGATCAAATGTGACTCCCGCTTCTTGAAAAATGTATTCGCTATCGCCAAGTCGTGTGCCTTTGCGGCTTCCAGGATGCGTTCTCCATCTTCATTCCTCTGACCGTATCCGTTTCCACCATGGTATCTCTTGAATCCATCGTGTTCGTGGCCAACGTGCCCATTAAGATCGCCTCCTACGAAGATGTAGTCTGCAGCGTCAAATGTCCTTAGCAGGATGTCGAAGTCCCTCCAAAACACGTCCTTCTCGGCTTCGGTACATGCGGATTGGGGGCATAACAGGAGACTATTCGAAGCGTGGCATCATCTGCTTCGATCTTCATCGCCATCAACCTATCTGAAATGCGCGTCACTTCGGTCACTAATTCGCGGTATTTACCGCTGACGATGATCGCGACTCCGTTCTGGCGGCTGCTATCTCCCATGTAGTATAAGCGATATCCGTCGCCAATGTCCTTAGCCTGCCTCCCTTTCCATTTCGTTTCCTGTACACATCCGATGTCGATGTGTCGCTCCTTCAGCCTATCACATAGCTCCCGGCTGCGGCTCGTCAGCGTTCCTATATTAATCGTTGCTAGTCGGATTTCCTGGACTCGCTTCTTTGGCCTGCCTTGTCCGGGGGCGAGTAGCCCTAGCTCACTATTCGCGCCATGCGGGCAATGACGCGCGTCGCCTCCGGAGGACGCCCTAGCAGCTTGACGAAAATCCTTAATAGTCCGATGCATGTGCCACGACTGATTCGTACAGTCCCCGGCGCGTCGCTCTGCCTGACGGGACAGTGCCCTCGTTTTTTGCCGGGGTTGATCCCCGTTGCCAGCCGGCACCGCGGGGAGGTGACGATGGGACTTTGCCGGCCCGCGCACCCATACACACGCTGCTGAAACTAACACCCGCACATCCATATAAATTAACGCACGTTGTAAGCACAAGGGTTACTCGCGTGAGGTACGAAGCAGTGAAAGGGATGCCACCGTAGCTTGCAAGAGAGGAAACACTTGCCTTTGGGATGACAACAAGTTTCCTTATGAGTTGACCGTTGTTGATGGGGTTTTAAATAATCTCGCATAGTTCGATCAGTAGTGTGGATGCAGGAACGAGTTCCACTAATTTTGATTTCATTGGTTATATCCTATATTGACATTTAAGGTGACCCGCGCATGCAGATGCAGCTGAGCCGATGCCCACTCCCGAGTTGCCCTACTGTGCTAGCGCGGGCCAACAAAGCAAAGGAGACATTGAAATACAGACTGGCCCGCTCGTCCGGGTGACAGGGTCGCTGCACACACTGGAACTGTTGCTGGCCCGCGCTAGTATAGCAGGACCGCCCTAGGGGTGGACTTCTGCTCGGCTGCACCCATGCGCGGGTTACCTCAAATGTGAATATAACCCATGTGAAATCAAAAGTAGTGGAACTCGTTCCTGCTCAGACATTTTTTGCTGCCACCCGCGCGCTCACGGCAGGCTGGGCGAAAACCCGTTCCGGGCCTTGCCCTGCCATGGTAGCGCGGGCCAGCAACGGTTCCAGAGTGTGCAGCGACCCTGTCACCCGGACGAGCGGGCCAGCCTGTATTTCAACGTCCCTTTGCCTGGCTGGCCCGTGCTAGCATAGCAGAGCCACCCTAGGGCTGGGTTTCCGCTCGGCTACACCTGCATGCGCAGGTCACCTCAAATGTGGATACAACCCATGTGAAGTCGAAAATAGTGGAAATCGTTCCTGCTTTACTACTGATCGAACTACACGAGATTATTTGAAACCCCATCAACGGTCAACTCATAAAGGAACCTGTTGTCAGCCCAAATGCAAGTTTTACACCTCCTGCAAGCTCCGATGGCATCCCTTTTAATGCGTCGTATCTCACGCGAGTAACCCTTGTGCTTACAACGTGCGTTAATTCATATGGATGGATGGATCGCTGTTAATTTCGGCATGCGTGGTATGGGTGCGCGGGTCGCCAGCTCACACCTATGGGCCGCTGCTGGGCATGATGTATGTAGGGGCTGAGATATAGCTGCGTGGCTCAACGGCGAAGCCCAGTTGGGCGACCGGTCCGCTGCAACAATTGTCTGAGTGCATTCACAGTGGTGATCGAACTACACGAGACTATTCAAAATCCCGTCAACAGTCAACCCTTGAGGAAACCTGTTGTGATCCCAACCTGCAAGTTTACACCTTCAGCAAGTTCCGATGGCATCCCTTTCACTGCGTCGTATCTCACGCGAGTTACCTTTGTGCTTACAACGTGCAATAATTATATGGATGGGCGGGTCGCTGTTCATTTCAGCATGCATGTGTAAAGTGCGCGGGCCGCCAGTGAAATTATAATATAGGCGTGCGGGCCACCGTCAGCATGGCATCAACTATGTGCGCGGTCGCCAGCTCACACGTGTGGGCCGCAGTTGGGCCTGTTGCATATAAGGCTGAGATCTAAGTGCCGCGGCTCAACAGCGAGTTGGCGACCAAGACGCTGCAATAATTGTCTGAGCGGGCTACAGAGTGTGTACAGTTTGTTAACTACGTGCTCCGTTTTCCGTAGCACCTGCGCATCGCAGCGCAAGGGCATAGCGCAGCGATTCTCGATCGATGCGGCGAATTGGAAGCTCAAGCGGCACTCCCGCGTACATGGCACGGGGCTCTAGCCTTGAAATGTTCAAAAAAGAGCAAATTGTTGACATGGACTGTATGCGAAGATTACCTATTGAGAAAGAGTGCGCTTTGAGCAGAGTCGGGTATGAAGTTGGTGGCTTGCCTTGACTACAGCAAGGAATGTCACGAATTCGGTTCCGCGGCGGGAGGCCTAATTCCGAAGAAGCTCTGCGTCATTTTTTTCGTGTGATAGCTTGTACGTTCCTCGCAAGCTACTCAGACAGTCGACGGCATACCTCCGGAGCAGAAATGGCTGAGCCGCGGGGTTCCCCCAGCTGGGGATTGCCACTCGTGCTCCGGAGCCCTCCCATTTGTGCTCCGGAGACCTCCCATTTGTGCTCCGGAGCCCTGCCATTTTCTGCTCCGGAGGTGTCCCAAATCTGGCGTACTCGCGGCGGGCAAATCTCTTCGCCGCGGCTCTGCCAAATCTGGCGTACCCCCGGAGCAGAGATGGCGTACCTCCGAAGCAGATCCGGAGAAGGGTCCCATTCGCCTGCTTGTGACGTCACCGTGACCTACAAGAAGGGACCGCCCCCTCGCCCCGCTCTCATTGGGTCCGCCGCGGCTCTGCCAGATTTCGACTGTCCGGCGCGACTACGGCACCGATTGTCTGAGTATGCTCTTCCAAGCTTGACGAGTGCGAACGGTAGGCTATATCCTTTCAGTAGGATGAGCAAACATGGCTAAGGAAGCTACACTCTGTGTCAATCACGTGCTCCTTTTTCCGTAAGCCTAATCGCCATGTCGGAGCTCGCGCCACTTTTGCGCGCGTATGGCTTGAGCAGTCAAATTGGCTTCATCGATTAGAGGTTCGCACGCAAGGTCCTCGCGTTGTGCATGCGTAATCCCTGCGCGGAAGGGAGTACGTAATTGACATCGACTGTAGCTCACTATAGGCGATCATTAAAGTTCTCAGTTACGTCTAACCACCATCAATGTAGGATCACTAATGGCACAACATCACTGGCTGATTTTCTCAGAAGAAGTAGAGTACAGCACCTGCACTGAGACAGAATGCTCCCTCTCCTTCTGCACTACGAATGATCTATGTCTACCGACCTCCAAAGTCCTGTTCTATTTCAGACAAAACACTTCTTGACACGCTTTCTGCTTCCATTCTTTGTACTCTAAACATCCTGATTGTCGATGATTTTAACCTTCCCATAAAATGCGCTCAAGACTCACAATGGTGGCACAAACCAATAGAGTTTTTTCGTTTTTTCAAAGCTTGCAGGTACAATATGTCACAGAACCAACACGAAATGATATTATATTAGATTTGGTCTTAGCTAATCTTCAGTCTGTCACGAAACCCCTACTCAGCCCCTTTGGTTACTTCGGAGCACAGTATGATTGAATTTCGCTATAAATTCAATCATGCGCAAGACCAACTTATATCAAAACCTATTTTCACAAAAAACAACACTGCAATGAAAAGAAAACTTGCCGATACAAACTGGGACAAATGTCTCAATCTTTATACTAGTCCATCCGCTATGTATTACACATTTTCTTGCATCGTATATGCAATCTTAGGACGATTTACCACTTTGAGATTCCAAAGGTTGGATATCTCAAATACTCCAAACCATCCAGTCACTTTTGCTGCCGAAAGAAAGGCTTTTCTAAGAATCGCGATATAATAGTACTCGTACAAAAAGGTTTGCTTCGTCCAAAAAACTTTCCGGAAATCATAGAAGCGCTTGGCCTTGTCCAGAAATTCACAGAAACTATTCGCATACATCCATAATCGTACTCAAAACAAATATTTCGGAGCTCTGAAAGATATTTTAGGGAATATTTGCTTACAAAGTAATGCAAAAACCAAGCATTAGGTGCTTTTTTGTAAATACTTTTTCTACGAGAACCTCTGAATTGAACTTATTCAAAAGCCCGTGTACCATACATGCTCACTTCCCATGTCAGCCTTATGTGGTGGAACGCTATCTCAAAAACTTCAAGCATTTAACTTTTGAACCATTTGATGGGATTCCACACATAGTGTTCAAAAGATGTACTAAGAAACCCTCTGTTTCCCTTTCCAATACTTTCAATATTACTTTTTTATGCAAGGTCCCAAGTAGTACTTGGAAAGAAGCAGTCATTACTGTTATTCCAAAGATTGACACATCTTAAACTGTATCGACCAATAAGTATTAATTCTGTTTCATGTAAGATTCCAGGGAAGATAATTTGTTATAAACTTCTAGCTTGGTTTAAAAATTTAAAATTTTTCCATTCAAAGGCAGTGGCTCCGCAAAACCAAACATCTCAAAGTTTTGATATGGAAGGTTGTTTGCGTTGTTTGCATCCCATACATCAGCACAGAGGTTGGAGCGCACCACATGTTGCCTCTGCCTAGAAAACTGCCCCTAAACCCGTGCGCGCAAGCCATTTTTACACGCGCTTGGACGAGCTTGCGGTCCCCTCCCACCGTCAGAGGCGTCATGCCGTAATGCTATAAACATGAGTAACGACTCTAGGTTTCTAACTATGGCGAGGAGTAGTCCACCGTCGAAATTTAAATGAGAATCCTTGGAAAATGCTGTGCTCTTCAAGGTGTATTTTCAAAATCAGCGCGTCGAATTACCCCAGAAGCGGAAAAACATCAGTTTGAGGTTTTGCCGAGCCACTGCCTTTAATAGCATGACTGTATAATCTTATATCAGTTGATGTAGCATAGGCCGAGACTGGTACAGTGTTTTTCAACCCGGAATGGGCGAAACATTCTAAGTGGAGCAGCGCGTCCGCAACGTCACTGGCTCAGCGGGACAGATTAGATTGAAGAGACGCAGAAAGCAAAGCGGCGCGAATCGTTGTGAAGCGGAATCCCTCCAGTCCAATTTCCGCCTAAACTGAGTTGCAACTTACTATAAATATTACTTATTTATTTATTTATTTCTACTTATTTTATGTACGTTTCGGCGTCTCCGCCTTCTTCAGAGCCTGGAAACGTCAAAGATCTGCACAAGCTACCCTCCCAAATGCTTCGTTTTCACCACATCGGTACAACTCTACAGCCAACAAAGCGAAAACAAACGCGAAAACGCTGATAGGGTTTGCGCTTATCTTATAGTCAGTAGTACTCTTCACCACATGATTGACATGTGAATGAATAGACTACGCCCGTCTTCATGCAATTCCCTGGTCTACCGTATGGGTATATCCGCATTCAGGAGTTATGCAAATGCTATCATAGGCGCGGATTCGTACCAGCTGTTTTTCAAGATTGGAGGGAGACAGCCCTAACGTAATCTTGAAGACCGGATTAGTGCAGACATGCGATAGTCTATTTGATCACATGTCAATCATGTGGTGAAGAGTATGTGGGCGAACAGGTTGAACTCCGTGCATCCGGATCAAGGAGCACTTGGACCGACTCGCAAAAGATAGATCATCAAACCTCCTGAGTGTTCACAGCAGGTTCTACCATGAAAACACCATATTTGAACGGCAGTCACTATCTTATCGCACGAGCCCCAGAATACAGCACGCAAGACATTTGAGGTGTTGGATCTGCTTTCGAAATCCAAAAGGGAGCACAAAAGAAGAATGCATTGCCATCACAAACGAGCTGGCACCCTTCCGGACCCTTTTTGGATTCTGATCTATGGGTTGGGGTCGGATCAAGCGCGGGGGAGTGTTTAACATATCAGTAGCCTCAACAGTAGGGCTGCAGTTTTGCTCGGTGGTCGCTTCCTCTTATCCGCAAGGCTATTAGGTGAGCGCTAACCCTATTAGAGTTTTCGGTTTGTTTTGTTGTGGAGTTGGCTGTAGGGTTATACCAAAGTGGTAAAAACGAAGCATTTGGGAGGGTTTGTGAAGATCTTCGAGTTTCCAGGCTTGAAGAAGGCGGAGACGCCGAAGCGTACGTAAGCCAATAAATCTATCAACCAATCCTGGCCTAAGCTATGTCAACTGATACAGCAAAATTCCGACAGAGCAATATAGGTCCGTCACTGGAGCATCCACTGTCGCCCATCTAATCAATCGATTAGATGGGCGACAGTGGATGCTCCAGTGACGGACCTATATTGCTCTGTCGGAATTTTGCTGTATCAGTTGACATAGCTTAGGCCAGGATTGGTTGATAGATTTATGATTTAGATTTCCACTAATTGCATTAGATCCACTTTTGAGGGGGAAAAAGTTTACGTTATTCAATTCGACTTACCCAGGATTTTTGGAGCGTAGGTCACCCCTGGGTCACGAAGACCGCACATTCTTCTCATATCAATACTGCGAAGTCCGACTAGATGTTGTTTGTGTCGGGTCATCTTCAGAAGAATGCGCTCGAGCGCTCTGTATGTGGTCCGTAAAGCTTTCGGCGTGCTATGGTGTCAACCCCAAGTCTCAGCTGCGTAACAGAGCGCCGGGAGAACGGTTGAGTCAATAGGCGGGCACGAAGCTCCAGGTCCGTCAGTTGGTCGATGGCTTTCTTCAGAGGCCCGAAGGCGGCCCAGGATGTCCCGGCTGTTCTTTTTCTCCTGTTACGTTCTTCCCTCAAGTCACTCTCCAAGTTCATCGGACGTTCAAGATACACGTAAGAGAACGTCTCCATGATAGCAGAGCCTTCCAATTCCATTTCTGTATCTTCGCAAAGGACGTTCTTCATGAACTGACTCTTCTTCCGATTTATTCGCAGTCCTATCTTCTTCCCTACTTCGTTTAGTTTCTTCAGCATCGTCTGCTTCAGTGATACTGCTCGAAAAGAGAACGATGTCGTCCGCAAAACGAAGATTCGATAGGAATCTTCCATAAACTTATATGCCTCTCTCGTCCCAGTCCAGTGTCTTCATCACCCACTGCAAGGCCGCGGTGAACAGCTTCGGCGAGATTGTGTCGCCTTGTCGGACCCCCTTCTCAATGCGGATGGTCAGTGGAATATCTGTATCGTCGTTGTACAGTCCTTGTAGCAGTCGGCTAGTGTCTTCACGTAAGCTGGGTCCACTCCTTGATCGAATAACGCTGGGATGGCGTCTGTTTCGACGCTGTCGAAGGCTTTCTCGTAGTCGACGAAGGTTAGGACGAGAAGCAGTCGGTATTCCCGGCAGACTTCTATTACCCTCGAAACCGTCTGGATGTGGTCCATGCAGCTGAATCCTTTGCGAAATCCAGCTTGTTCTTGGGATTGGGCTTCATCCAGTGTCCCAGATATGCGAGCGAGGATAATCTTTGTGAAAAGCTTGTACAGCACACTCAGCAGGCATATTGGACGGTAGTTCCGAAGATCCTCCTGTTCACCTTTCTTGACGTTCTCCACTAATCGGGAATCCTCTCCTTCTGGAGGTAAGATGTCAGGTGCGACGTGAGAATCTCGTGTAGACGTTGTCCTCCGGCTCGCAGAAATTCAACGGAAAGATGCACTTGAATTGCACTTGATTGCTTTTCGGGGCTGTGAACAGATTGCTGCCACGCGGGACTTACACCAACGCACGCACAGTGAGCAACCTCAAACTTGGGTAATTAAACTTTATTAACAATAACTAAGCAACAACTAAATCAACGAAACTTAACACAAATAAATAACTAATCCTAAGGGAACTAGAGAACCTAACTAGCTCAAAGGGATGTGATGTTCTCAAGCAAAAGGAACTGTGATGAAAGAATCGAACCCAATGATGACTATAAAAAATGCGAGCAAGAAAATCAAATACTGTGACAATCTAAGTAAAGCAGACAAACGACAAATAATATGACTGTGATAATCAAGAAAATGAGTAAAATGCTATAATACGTGTTTTAGGGACTGTGACTGTGTGCTATATTCAAAAAGCTGTGATCTGAGGAAAGGAGGAAGTATTAAACCAATAAGAGGCACAACGGGAATAAGGCGAGAGGAAAAAGTAAAATAATAAAGCAAGAAAAGGAAAGAAGAAAAGTGAAACAATAAACAAGAAAAGAAATGTCTCATACACGCGCATTATGGTCGCTGTGTCTCATTATCGACTTATATATCGAAACATCGGAATTATAAACAAAAGTCGTCGGGTCTGTGAAACTACTGATAAGCTGCAAATAATGTTGTTGTTCCTTCGATCACATTCCGCAGCTCAGAGAACGATACGAACGTTAAGTTCGTATACTCCGGCCCCGCATTAAGAATGCGAGGAACCTGGATTGTCCTCGCTGTGT